GCTGTAAGACATATTTTAATGCTAAGTTTGGTTCCCTGTATCATCCGGTTTGCAGCTTGGTAGGTGGGGTAGATTCCTTAAGGACATACGCAACGTAATTTGAACTTTATTGTCTTTTTCCCTGGAGTTGAAGAGTTCCGATACTTAAAGGAACTGTGTGCTACATTTTAATGTCTATATATGCTGTTGTACACTTCTTCTAAAACAAGTTTGGATAAACAAAACATCTAGAATATACGTTTAGTAATTTTTCCATATATTTCTTTGAATTATACAAAAATTTCCATCAATTGATATCTTTTCTAAACCCCTGGTAATGCATGCTGATTTTTTGTCTACGAACATCTGATGGTACTATAATCTTAAATTAAGAATATTTTGAAAAATTATCAGTAGGCAAGGTACGTTGCGTATGTCCTTAACTTTACATAACAATGAATGGGCGAAGAGATATAACTGCTGAGAATGTTCCTATTGTTAAAGTATGAAAGACTGCAACGAGTCCCTTGGGATTAATTACCTTTCCTCTTGAAGAAAATCCAAAGCATTATCTTTATTTTCACTTTGAGATTAATAAACACCTCTCTGTCTGCAAATGAATGTTTTGAAGTGAAAGTCAATTCTGAATGATGTTTACGTTCTCTGAAGTTCATAAGTAGTATAAGGCGCCTAGCTGGCTGGGTCAACTGAGTGCACTTTTGGGCCCTGGGGGGATGGCCAGGTCAACGGAGTGCACTTTTGGCCCCCTAACCAGCCAGGGTGTTCAACCTTTTCCACCCCGGGGGTCAAAGTGCCTGAAAAAAAAAATCCATGTGAGATCCTACCTAGCCCTAAACTTGGCAGCGGTTCAAATCTTGATTATGACGTCATTCTAGTCCTTCATCGCCTCTCTGGCTGGTTAATTTTGACACTTTAAAAACACAGCTGATCTCCAGCTGTTATTCTAAAAGAAAAACAAGTCAATTTTAAAGCTTAAACTCTTTTTATTTAAGTATGATACAAAGTCAATTCTTCTTTTGAAGTTTCAGGGACTTCTTGACCTCTCCCTTGTGTTTTCTTTTCTTAGGCTGGTCCAGTGGAATCAGATTTTCTTTGTTCTCCTGATGTACAATAGCTTCTACAGGAATGTTTAATAAATCACCCTGTATCTCCTGGAGACTCATGTTCTCCTGCGTCTTTTTTTCCTGGGGCTTGGGTAGTCTCTTCTCAGACAGTTTGTCTTGGTCACACTTATCGGTCCAATGTCCAAATTTTCCACATTTGTAGCATAGGTCTTTCTTGGGACATTCAGGGGCCCAGTGTCCTAACTGTTTGCAGATGAAACAGGGGTTGGTCTCTCTGGTTTTCTTTGGAGCTTCTGTGTCCGTGGGTTCTCTACCTTTGTCCTGGATGCATATCATTTTGCCTTTTTCTTCTATTCTTCACACTTTACCCTCCAGTCGGGCCATTTTGCCTCTCAGGTAAACGAATTCATTCATGACTTTCTCTTCAAACTTATTTGCTTTCACTTGCATCTGGTTTAGTATGTTGACTATCCCCTCTAACGTGTTTGTTAAAATACCAAAGTCCTCTTTGGTCATGGGCTCTGGGAAATTATACAATCCCAAGTCCAGCCCTACAGGATCCTGAGTCTCTGGCATGGGGGCTATGGCATACCCTTCAGGTGTCACATAATTAGGGTTGTCTGTGGTATTCATCATTGCTTGTGCCATGGTACACGTCTGACTTCTGAAAAAGTTCTGACTGAAAATGATGACCCATACTCTCTCTGCGCTGGTTTTATACCTTTTAAATGAAGGGGTCCTGGAAAAACCCGCACGCGCTCAGCACGTTCTGAGATCTGGAAATTCCTGAGATATGAGATGTGAGATCTGGAAAAACCCACACGTGCTTAACACGTTCTTACTCTATTCAAGTCTATTGGTTTTTCCAAAGTCTAAAAATAAATTAAAAAAAACCAAAAAAAACAAAAAACAAAAAACAAAAAAACCCAGGGGTATAAATAAGACAAATATCTTGTCTTCTGTTCATAATCAATTGTCATGTCGAAGCAATACCACTCTTTGATTTAAGAAGGCTATAATTTGTTAATGCAATGAATAAAACAACACGAAAAACCTCTCCCTCCCGAGGCAGAACAAGTGTTTCAGAGAGCCAGTACCATCATAGAAACCATTCAGGACTTATGGTTACAATGCCTGGCCCTGTTACATCATCCCAACCTGGGGAGACTAGCTACACTGCATTTTCTATGTCAACGAATGAAAGAAACTCTGCCCCAGAAATGGTATGGGTTAAGTGCTGCAGATATACCTTCTCATATTTGGATGTTTATTTTTGGATGTATTTAAAAATGGCGGAGGGTCAATTATAGATGTGTTTAAAAATGGCGGGTGGGCCAATTATAGATTTATGACGTAAGGTTGTGCAATTCATAAGATGACATCTGAGCATGCGTCATGTATTCGAGGAATGCGAAATGTGAGGAATGCATAATTATAGATGTATGTCCTAAATCTATAATTGAAAACTGTGTATGGTTTAAAATAAACAGATGTAAAGCAAAAAAGTGATAGATCTAGTGTCCAAAAATAATTTGTTTGTGACCCATGTAACTATTAATGGGGGGAGTATAAAAGAATAAAAGTAATGACCGAATCTTCATTCAATCTTTGTTCTGACCAAGAAAAGGTTGGTTAGAAAAAAATACATTGAAATGGAGAGTGTTGCGGTTATGACAAATTTGATTGAGAACACTTGTGATGAAGAGTGTAGAACAACACTCAAACGTACTTGCTGGAGGGACAAAGTGTGGATGATTCCAATGCTTATCATTTTAATGGCTGTTCTTATATTACTTTGTGTCAATCTCCTATGGCTGGAGAAAGGACAAAATGGTATTGATTTAGCGATGGATATCATAGAATGGAAAAATGATGAGAACAAAACGTCTCCAATGTGTCCGTATACCGACCAGTTTCCCTTAACTAATGATGTTTATGTTTCTATATGTAGCTTGAACCAGAACAGTTTGATTGATATTCGACGTTTTAAAGACGGGTTACCTACTGTTGAGGGAATACAAATGAGTAAAATGCAATGGCAATATTTGAAAACATCTGTTGGACATATTGACTCTTCCATTTTAAAACTCCCTCATTTGATCCGTGTGCAAGTTTGAATTTAATCTCCATATTTCATAATAAATGAATTAATTGTTTTTATTTTTTGACACTTATAGTCCAATGAAAATGGGTTTTTTCACTTATAAATATCTTTTCCTTTGGCTTAAATTTTTATTTCACTATGGACAGTCGAAGGACACAGTACAAATGGAAAATTGTAGCCTGGAGTGCACTAAGATTATCGAAAGAGTCTGAAAAGAAAACCTGGACTTTACAAGAAAGCCAATGGTTTGATCGCAAAACAGATTGTATCGAAGATTTTCAGACTGTGATTAAGGACGGTTATGATATTGCTGACAGTTGGGGGTCAGAGGAATACTTATTAAAACGGAGGGTTATGCCGAAAAAATATTCTCCATACTAGAGTGATATTTAATATGGGTCATTTACCTAGTGATGTAAAAAAAAATACATACATCTCAAAAACATGTTCACTTTAGTGACAATACAGAAATCTTTTTCATTCCTGTCGAGGACAGAAAGGGTGAATGGATGACTTATGCCATTGACAGAGCACATTTTAAGAGAAGAATTCAACAAACAGAGAGTATAATTTCACCTATTTTACAAAAGAAACTAGACAGTACAAGAGATGGCTGTTCAATATAGATATGGATGTTTATTGGAAACAAAGGACGTTGATGGAATCGTTCATCAGTGTAACTGTTTGACTGTTAAACCTCACGGACTAAGTGAGAAAATAAGCAAAACGTACCCTTGGGGTGATGTGTACAAAACACGTAGACCACAAGGTACAAGAAACTTAGATGTTCTAAATGACAGAAGTAAACCAGGAACAATACAGATCATGAAATCCCCTGAGATCGGTATGCCTGACGTCATTTGCTTATATTCACAGTGGGACTATGGTCATAGGAGTCGGAGAAATATCCCTCCTTTCAAAGATTCTCAAATTAATAGAGAGCAATAGTTTGCACAAAGTCTTTCCAAATTAAAAAATATTCCTCACAGAAGACTAGCTTTCCATTCAAAATTGGTTGTGGATTAGCAGGAGGGGACTGGAAAGTGTATTACAATCACATTCACCATTTTACCATTACGTCTGGGAAAAACGTATTGATATTGATACCAGAACAGGACGGACTGAAGTCAAGGTAGAATGACTTTTGAGTGATTTTACCTTCTGTTATTGTGACAATCTAATGTAGCACGAAGCTTCACAAAATGAAAATTATCGTGTTTTCAGACATAAATCAGTGAGGCAGACTATTTCACCACTCTTATGAAATAAAGAAAGTTAAGATACCATGACTTACCAGGAATACCTGTAATGACAAAAATTTCTATTGATAATTCAGGATACACATTTTCATTGACGGGAAAGTAGACATTTTTTAAGGTCTGTCGGATATAGATGTCAACACTATTTCACAACTCATTGAAACTTACATTCGATGAATGGGAAGAATTGAAATGTTATTGGAGACCAGATAAAAAGCGTGGAGTACTGTGAAAATTCGGAGAGCCATCAAAATCAAATGGGATTCCTTCAGTGCCCCAGGTGCAACCCCAACGAGTACTCTAACTATACTTACTAAAGAGGGAGATTGTGACACTTTTTTTGAATGACTGTGTTCAACATATATTACATAAAACTATGTTCAAAAACAAAAAGATTGTAAATATTGTTTTGTGTGACATAAATAATGAATATTATGTATGATAAATATTATTATATGTGTGTGACTTGTATCATTTCTATTTTAATTTGATGTCAATCACATTTAACATACTGTTTTTATAATAAAATGTATATAATGTCCAAGTTTTTTATTTTTACATTCATAAGTGAACATGAAGTTGACAAAACAACAACAGGCATATTTGGAAAACATTTGGACCGATGTTACAAAGGCAGCCTCATTTGCTGGTCCTTATAAACTTTATCAGATCGTGAAAAAAGAGGGGAAACATAAGATCGGCTTGAAAGCCATAAAACAATTTCTATCAGACTTGGAATCGTATTCTCTACAAAAGAGGGTTCGTAGAAAGTTTCCTCGAAGGCACATTTTGACAGATTCTATTGATTCGATATGGGATGGAGATTTACAAGATGTAAGAAACATATCCAAGGAAAACGATGGGGTTCAGTACATTCTGGTGTTACAAGATATCTTTTCTCGGTTTTTATTTACGGCTCCCTTAAAACAAAAGACAGCCACTAACGTGATAGATGCCTTAAAAGTCATATTTGCCAAAGGGAGAAAGCCAAAAGTGCTGAGAACCGATAAGGGTAGCGAATTTAAGAATAGATGGGTTTCTGCATTTTTGAAAAAAGAAAGCGTACATCAAATATTTACGGAAAATGAAACAAAAAGTAACTTTGCAGAGAGAAGCATACAGAATTTAGAAAACAGATTACACAGAATGTTTGCTCATAAGCAATCTTACAAATATCTGAACGAATTACCATTTATCACAGAGAGCATTAACAATACACCGTCTCGACCTTTGGGAGGATTTGCACCTGCAAACGTCACTGAAAATAACGAAGACGAAGTTCGATATAGTGCTTATTTACACAGAACTAAAAATGATAAGAAAACACAAGGTCCCATGAACGTCAAGTCTTCAACTACCAAATATTCAAAAGAGAAATCATACAAGTTTAAGATTAACGATAAAGTGCGGATAACACATTTGCGCCGATTGTTTCAAAGAGAATACGATCAAAAGTGGACAGGAGAAATATTCAAAGTCAGCAGTAGATTCCGCAGTCAAGACATTCCCGTTTACAAACTCAACGATTTTGCAGACGAATCCATATCCGGTACTTTTTACTCTCAAGAACTGCAGAAAGTTAACAAGGACAACGATTCCATTTGGAAAATCGATAAAATTTTAAAAGAACGAAAGAGAAAGGGGGTAGCTGAAGTACTGGTATCCTGGCACCAATGGCCAGCCAAATTTAATTCCTGGATCAAGAAGTCAGACCTGCAAGAGGTATAAATAAGGCGGATTTTGCGAATAGATGATCATTTTTTTTTTAAAATGAGCATAAGATTGGTTCTCAGATCTTCTGACAGTCACAACGTTTATCCCGGAAACACTCCGTATGACTTTAAAGTACATATACCTAAACCGTTGTACTTTCAAGGTCACTGGACCGTTTCACTTTTGGAATTTTCTTTACTCTCGGGTAATACCGAGCGAGAATTATACGTGTGTAGTAATCTGTGTCAAGACAGCATAGTGGGAGAGAGGGAGTTACCTCTCTTACGACGAGTGTTCTTAGAAAAGGCTGGGAACAATATCTATACTAACCCTTACGAAGTACCCCTTCGATTGGGCGAATTTCAAGACGTGAGGATCTATATAAGGAACTCTTCTAATCAAGCAGCTTCATTTTTAAAAGGCGGTGTAACCGTAACCCTCCTCTTGAAGAAACGCTTGTTTGAAATACAATGATGGGTTCAACCTACGTTTCAGATCCTAGGGTCTGGAAATCGTTTTACAGAAACATGATGGATGGTCAGTTTCGACCTGGAAAATATAGGGGTCGTCAAACGGGCGGTGGAATAGGAGGAATGTTTTCCAAGAAACCTTACATGATTTCCGTCAACCCACACTCAACGGAATCCCCCGACAAGAAGGTCGTGGGGAAACACGTGACTCCCATGGCTGCCGTGGAAGAAAGAGCGAAATCGGAATTAAAAGAAGCCATCAAGGAAAGCATTCCTCACGTGTCGGTAAACGGCAAGAAAGAATCAAACCTAAGCCTGCTGTCAAGGCGATAACATCTAAGAGTGTAAAGAGAAAGAAACTTGAGGAAGAAGATTGGGAAGGTACTATATTCAAGAAACTGAAGAAATAATGGCGTTTTTAAATGACAAGATCACCGACATCGGACTTCCAGCAGAATTAACCTTATTTACAGTCCCTCCCAATCAAGTAGCTGTAGAAAAAATCTATTATTCGGAATGCAGACCTGTCAGCTCCTTCGATTCCGAGGATGCCCCCATCGAAATTTCTATACCAGGACAGGGTAACGAGTACATCGATCTTAGACGCAGTCGACTGTATGTGAAATGTAAGATCATTAAATCGGACGGGACTGCTCTCGCCGCCCAGGAAAAGACCGGAATCATCAATGTACCTTTGCAATCGATGTGGTCACAGATCGACATATACATGAATGGAAAACTCGTTTCCCTCAACACCAGTTACTATCCTTGGAAAGCTTATCTAAAACTCCTTATGTCCAGTGGAGGCGATGCCACGGAATCTCAGTTACAGTCCCAGTTATACTATTTAGACGACGACGACATGGATAACCCTGACGCCTACGGGGGTTCTAACGGAGGACTGGCCAATCGATACGCATTCACCCAGAAGAGCCAGGTTTTCGACATGGAAGGTCCTTTATATGAGGACGTCTTTAGACTAGACAAATACCTGGTCAATGGTGTGGATGTACATCTTAAGTTTTTTAAGAATTCTGCTCCCTTTGTGCTCATGAGCAAAGAGACAAGTCCAAGTTACAAATTGCAGTTGCTAGACGTTTCATTTAAGGTCTGCAAGATCAAAGTCGACAGTGGAGTACTGATCAATCATGCCGAAATATTGAAGGACAAGACGGCCAAATATCCTCTGACCAGAACCGAAGTGAAAATGAGTACCTGTCCCAAGGGATCTGGCACGTTTATCTGGCAAAACGTGTGGTCCAACACTCTACCGACCAAAGCTCTTTTCTGTTTCGTGTCACAGACGGCGGTAAATGGGAACTACGAGAAAAATCCCTACAACTTTCAGAATCTGGCAGAGGAAATAGCTCTCTACGTTAACGGCGAGAGCTTGCCTTCCAGACCCATGAAAATCGATACAGGACTTAATCAAAATTACATTTCGCCTTATGTCAATTTGTTTGAGGTGGCAGAGAAATGGAATAAAGATGCAGGTCTACAGATTAAAAGATTCATGTTTGGAAAAGGCTATGCCATTTATGCTTTTAGCCTGGTCCCTGACGACCTGGGCGAGGAGTATTTAAACCTGGTGAGGCAAGGGAACGTGAGATTAGAGGTGAAGTTTGCTGCCGATACAATCGAAACACTAAATTGCTTGGCTTACGCAGAGTTTCCGGCTCTCTTGGAAGTGGATTATTCCCGCGACATCAAATACACCAGAGTATGAATACCTCTGAAATTCGATGCTTCATTAGAAGTCACGACTTGCTCTCTACGTCCGTCAAAGGTGTATATTCACCAGATACACTACCATCAAAAATTGATTCCTATCCATCCGCCTACGTATGCAACACGGACCCCTCTCATCTTCCGGGAGAACACTGGGTCGTCTTTTGGATGGACAGTCCACAAAAAGCAGAATTTTTTGACAGTTTGGGCAAACCTCCAGAGTATTATGATGAACGATTGAAGACTTTTTTAATGTTCAATTCTGAGAATACAGTTTACTCAAATAAACAATTACAGAAAAAGAGTGCTGAAACGTGTGGATATTATGTGCTATTTTTTTTGCTGATGAGAAGTTGCAAATATAGCTTTCCATACATTGTAGAATATATTGGCAGGCAGGATGATCCCGATTTATTTGTATATCGCCTTGTATCTGACTATACAGATTGCTTGTAAAGACTACTTTTGAGAAATATTCATGAGTGTTGTTAATAAATATGATGTCATTCACTGTTTTGGTTTCATTTCACATTTAAAAACAGACGTTTTTTACCTTCACAACTCAGTCTCGTTGGAGAAATGATCATGGAGGATTGGTGGGAATACAAATCACTTTTACCCTTTCATTCCCCTGCTACGGCCATGATTGTTGGTCCCACCATGAGTGGTAAATTGTCTCTAGTTTACAAAATTCTTAAAGAAGCTGATGGTATGTTTCAAAAACCACCGGATAGGATAATTGTTGCTTACACAGAATATCAACCTCTGTTCGAGGAAATGGAGGAAAATATCGACAATTTGATCTTGCATCAAGGGCTACCTTCCAAAGAACAAATCGAGGAATGGAGTGACGATGTGGAACACACCGTCTTGGTGTTGGACGACATGATGATGCAAGTTGCCAAGAGTGAAGAGTCCTTGAATTTGTTTTGTGTGACGGCTCACCATCGTCGAGTGAGTGTATTCATGCTTGCTCAAAATCTGTACATGCCAGGAAAGTTTGCCCGAACCATTTCATTAAATTGCCATTATGTCATTCTCTTTCGAAATGTAAGAGATTCCAGACAAGTATTAACTTTTGGATCTCAGGTGTTTCCATCGAAATTGAAATATTTTAAAGATGCCTATGACAAAGCGACTTCGGTTCCCTTTGGATATTTGGTTGTCGACATGAGTCCGGGGACGGATGACAAGTACAGATTGCGCACGCATATTTTACCCAAAGAGGATAACATTGTTTACCTGTCCAAATAAATATAATGTTAAATTACGAATTTGCATCATTTTCAAGATGAATCGCAGTCTGAAAGCACATTTCTCGTTTTTAGACTTGTTGTGTATTGCAAACGCCAAACAAAGAAGTGGCTTATTGACGAGCATGTCGTTTGATCAAATGCAGACACTTTGCGAAGTTATTTATAACGTGTACAAGGGAACCATCCCAGTCACCAAAAAGTACGTAAATACTTTGCTACCTTACAAAAACGTCATTCGTACTCTGATCAGTAGATCTGTGAACAAGTCACGACGCAAAACTTTACTGTTAAAAAATCAGAAGATCATACCTCAATTGATCAAACCAGCACTACACTACTTTCAAAATGGCTCGAGAACTAGTACTCGTACCAAAAGAAAAATTCCAAACTCTGCTGAAATCGGAGGAAAAGTCGAACAGTCTACAGGAGAAACCCCCTCTACCCAAGAAGGACCCTCCCAATAATGAAGACCCACCTACTCAAACCCGAATTCTAGAAATCTTGGAACACACCATTCCAGTGAAATATCAAAACAAGGCGAGAGGATTAATTCAATTTTTATCACGATACGGAGGAGACGTAGTGTCCTGGAAAGAAAATGGAAATTTAATATACAAGGGGGACGTCATTCAGGGTTCTCACATCAGTGATCTTATAAAACATGCATTAAGTCCATATGTTAAAGGAAATCCTATTGGATTTCAACAGTTTTATAAAGCACTGAAAGACATCGACACTCCCACGTCATTCATTCACAACAAGAAAATGATGGATCGTTCCGAGGTTCAGAGTGGTGGCAGATATGTGGTAAAGATACAGACGGACGGTGCACCGCCGGGTTACCAACCTCCCAAGAAGAAGCAAATGACTAAATCAAATATCAAGTGGCTAAAATTTTAATCAATGCATTGTTTATCAATACAAAGAAAACATATCTTGGTATGAATTTATGACAAACTTATTCATATGTGTACAATGAAAATAAAATATTTTGAATTTCAAATTTTTCATGTTATTTTTTTCTTTTAAATTTTTGTGTTGATCTTTTATGTAAAACCAGAAGCGATCGATTGCGTCAAAAGAAAATGATTTTCATTAGTGTGTTAGAAATTTCAGTGTAATGTACAGAAAAAAAATATTGTTGTCGCAAGAAGATCGATTAATCTATATCGTATTTGTGCATAATTTTGCTTTATTTTTTTTAAATCTGGAAATATTATCTAATCTATTTATTGATAAGAAAAAAAAATCGGTGTCTTTGCAAACAAAGAAATGAATCTTTATTGATTGATTTCAATAAAATATGTTTAAATTAAACATTGAATGATTTTTTTTTCAAAAACAAATTCTGATCTTAATTTTACACAGAAATCAATTTTTTCTATCTAAATGAAAGTCTGATAATTTTTTGTAACATTTTTTCTGTAAACAATTTAACTAAAATGTTTTTAAAAAACAGTCATTATTTCTTTTGACAAAAAAGGTCTACTTATTTAGACAATCGTTTTGTTAAATAGATATTAGTTTCTCTGATTGTTGAGGTTAATGAAAATTGTTTGCCTTTACAGACATCTTTGGAAGGTAATAATATCTTAACTTACTTTACTTCATAAAAGGAAAAAATAATTACAAATTGTCATCACATCTTATGTAACTTCTTTTCTAAAGCTGATATTTAGAAGAAAAAAAACCTATGATGTTATAATTAGTTTGTACTGAGAAAACCTTATACTTTTATCATTTCAAAGATCTGTATAATACTTTTTACATCTTTATCAAACAGACCTTAAAAATGTCTGTTTACCCGTTAATAAAAAATGTGTATTCTGAGCTATCAAAAGAAATTTTGTCATTACATTCTTGATAAGTCAGGGTATTTTATCTTTCTTTATTTCATAATGATAAAATAGTCTGCCACATTGATTTATGTCTGAAAACATAACATTCATGCAACATATATTGTCACACTAACAGAGAGTACTATTATCAAAGATGAATTTCACAAGCAGGGATGCTAATATATTATTTATCTAACAAAACCAAATCCTTGAAAAGATATCAAAAGTTATATGTACATTGTGTGAATAACATTGACCTTCTTTGATGTTTTGAAAAGAAAATAATGACATTCAAACCTTTTATAAATCATTGAAGTTATAATGGCTGTATATTTTATTTCAATATTTCAAAACTTAAATATTTTCCAAAGTTAAGCCCAATAAAATATGTTTTAAATTAAACAATGAATGGATTTATTTTCAAAAACAACTTCTTGCTTATATACTCTCATCATTATTTTACATAATTTTTTTTTATCTAAATGAAAACCTGATAATTTTTGTAACAATTTTTCTGTAAGCAATTGAACTAAAGTGTTTAATAAACAGTCATTTCTTTTGACAAAAAAAAATTCTGCTTGTTTTCACAATCGTTTTGTTAAATAGATGATATTTGTTTCTCTGATTCTTGAGGTCAATGAAAATGTGTATCTTGAGCTATGAATAAAAATTGTTTGTCTTTACAGACATTCTTGAAAGGTCATAGTATCTTAACTTTCTTTACTTCATAAGAGGAAAAAATAAAACAAATTGTCAACACATCTATGAATTTTATGTAACTTCTTTTCTAAAGCTTGCATTTAGAACAAAAACCTATGATTTTAGTTTGTATTGAGAAAACTTTATATTTTTGTCATTTCAAAGATCTGTGTAATACTGTTTACATCTATATCAAACAGACCTTAGAAATGTCTGTTTACCCGTCAATAAAAAATGTGTATTCTGATCTATCAATAGAAATTTTGTCATTACATTCAAATCAGGGTATTTTATCTTTCGTTATTTCATAATGATAAGATAGTCTGCCACATTGATTTATGTCTGAAAGCATATCAATTTTCAATTTTGAAGCTTCATGCTACGTAAGTTGTCACACTAACAGAGAGTAATATTATCAAAGAAGAATTCTAAAAACAGAGAAACTAATAGTATTTATCTAACAAAACCAAATCCTTGAAAACATATCAAAAGTTACATACACATTGTGGAAACAATATTGACCATCTTTGATGTTGCTTTAAAAAGAAAAGCCAACCGTTTTCTTGACATTTAAACTTTGGTTTAAACAGTATTTATTCAAGAAAACATTTATATGCATTTAAATACATCGCTACATGATGAAAGGGATTTGAAAAAAAAAGCAGATCTGCTTATAATAATTCATCTCCCATTCAAACTTTTATAAGATACTGAAGTTATAATGGCTGTATATCTAATTTCAATATTTCAAAACTTAAACACTAACCAAAGTTAATCACATACTAAACAAATTAGAAAAAATATATCAGGATTTGATTTAAAGCCATTGATCCTAAAATTAACCATGATGTTTATTTCTATTGTGGAATATTTATAATTGTATTATTTCAAAGATACGTGCAATATTGTTTACATTCATATCCAGCAGACCTTAAAATATGTCTGGGTTTGTGCATCTAGAGCTATGAATAGAAATTGTTTGTGTTTACGGGCATTCTTGGTAGGTCATTGTACCTTAACTTTCTTTACCTCATAAAAAGAGGAAACAGTTTGCCTCTCTAATATTTGACCGACATGACAGTTTTCATTTTGTGAAGCATCATGCTACATTAAGTTGATACACTGTAACTAGATAAAATCAAGCAAAGACCATTTTGTCTTGACTTCAGTAAGATTTCAGATGTTTCAATTATAGATTTAGAACA